ATATGAGTGATTTCTATTAAAATATTGAATAAAATCGTGAAAATTCGATTGTATTATAAACAAGACCACTTTTTGATGCCAACATGATGCTTTTGTACAGAGAAAACAGGATAACTTTCATGTATTTTGATTTCTCTTATAAATTTACATTTAACAATCCGTTATCCCCAAAGCCAATGGGATTGCGGCAAATAAAAGGTCGATTTTCTAGCTGTTAAATTTAATAGCAGGTTGGGACGTTTGTTAATGCATGGCAATCTCGAATTTGTTAAGTTCAATATACTGAGTGTTTATGCTATCATTATAGCTACATACCCGTTCAATAGCGCGGATTTGTCTGTATTTTGCAAAAAAATAGAATATAAAATACATTCTTCATCTTCCTTTACATCATATTAATTTATGGGTTAATTAATTTCTTCAAAGCAATAAAAACGTTATGTCCTCTCCATCCTAAAACACAGATAATATGTCTAAGACGATTCAATCCCTACATCTCCGTGATGCATAGTGTGGACAATTTTAGGATAAGTTTCAGCAATTGACTTCAAGCTTTTTCCACGCGGTTAGAGGACGGATGTCTGACTTAATTCTACCAATATACGGACTTGGCTCTTTCAAGGGCCACATTTATAGTTCATCTCAATGGACTGAGTGCCGATTCAGGGTGGATCACCTCTTGGATTTGAAACGAATAGTAACTCGCCTTTGACTATTCTCAAGCGAATTTTCAGGATTTTATATGGTTTTTAAAAAGTTTGATAACGTTAGAAAATTTCGAAAATTAGGATAGTCATGAAAATTTCAAGAATTTTGAATATTTCGAAAATTTTGAAAATTTTGAAGATTTTGAAAAATTCGAAAATTGACTTTCCAAAATTTTTAATATTTCAAAGATGTTGAAAATGTCGAAAATGTTGAAAATTTAGATAATCACGAACATTTTAAGAATTTTGAATAATTCGAAAATTTTGACAAATTCGAGAAGTTTTAAAATTTCGATAATTTTGATAATTTCGAAAATTTCGAATATTTTGAAAATTTTTAAAATCATGAAAAATTCGAAAGATTTTGAAAATTTTGAAAATATTGGAAATTCTGAAAACTTCACTTCAAATTTTTTTAATGTCCTGACGCAAATGAAGAACTATGATTTTGTAGCTAAACCTAGTGATTTATGACGTACCGTATAATTACGACTCTAGTTTGAGACACATTTTACAAGAAATCAACCATATCCATTAGATGCGTTACTTTATTGGTTGAATCTGCGACCCACGCAATTTTTTAAGCACTGCCATTGTTTTAGTTATCTCAATGCCCAACTTCGGTCCATTTAATCGGCTTTTCACCATCATTAATATTTGACGGTCACTTGGGCCAATGAGAAAATACCTTATCGAAATGGAATTTGACGGAAACTGTCAAAGGTCTCTGAATATGAGTGATTTCTATTAAAATATTGAATAAAATCGTGAAAATTCGATTGTATTATAAACAAGACCGCTTTTTGATCCCAACATGATGCTTTTGTACAGAGAAAACAGGAAAACTTTCATGTATTTTGATTTCTCTTATAAATTTACATTTAACAATCCGTTATCCCCAAAGCCAATGGGATTGCGGCAAATAATAGGTCGATTTTAATTTAAAAAAAATTTTGAAAAATTTCTCACAAATAATGTCTTTTAACTCCAAAAATCATAAAAAATGATAATGTTTCTTGTTTGATTGCCTTTTGGACTGGCGGGGATATCTATCCGTCACTCGCAGGGTTGCCAAGTCTAACGATGATCACGTCCCGTGGTGTCACTTCATATTTTACAGTGTTTTGTTTTGAATACTTTGATGCTATTTGCTGCCAAAAATTTGACGGCTGATTGGGTATATTTAACGGACTGTTTGGTACTCGTACCCTGTTGGTGCAGAATAACGGTTTGTTAAATTGTGAAATGCACCCTAAGTACCTCTTCCCAATAGCGAGAGTCGACTTTGAAACACTCGGAGTCGTATTTATCGAGCATACCTCGTATCCACATATCATCCTAAGCGCAGGATATTTTTTCGGCTGCCATTTAGGAGCAACGTTCCAGACATCGGTCTGAAGATAAGGAAATCATATGTGCGCGCCTGTATTACCCTTGACATGGAAGCGTTTATAAAAATGATACTGCGACTCAAACCTCAGACGGGCGAACTATCAAAAAGAGGAAGTGTTTTTTATCTCGATTCACAGCTTCTCCAGGGATTATCTTTTCACAAGTGACTTTTTTAAGATTAAGGTAGAGGTATTGGAACATTTTACGTTATGTTTTCGTGTCCACTATAAAGTAAGCCTAACTGTTTTGTATGACCTAGAGAAAAAATGGCAAGTCAAAATTCAAGCATTCAACATTTCAAGATTTTCAGAATTTTCAAAATTCTCAAAAGTTTCAAATTTTTCAGTATTTTCAAGTTTCAAAATTCTCAGTCCTCAGAATTTTCGATAAAAAAATTACCTGAAATGTCGTTTGGTTTTGAAATCTGTCGCTAAATAATAGTAGACTTTTCAAAACTTTTAAGTTTTTTAAAATTATCAAAATCAGAATTTTAAAAATTTCCAAAGTTTTTGAAATATTAAAAATTTTCAAAATTTTCAATATCAGTATTTCGAAAATTTTCATTTTAGAAATTTTCAAAATTTTCAAAATTTTCGAAATTTTCAAAAGTTTCAAAATATAAACTTTTTCAAAATTTTAAGATTGTTCAAGTTTGAAATTCTCAGTCTTCAAAATCATTAGAATTTTCAAAATTTTCGATATCAAAAATTTTCAATATCGTTATAATTTTCAATATTTTCATAATTCCACAATACAATATATTTTTATTACTACATGGAAACGAGGAATTTTCCGATAAATTTCTGTGACCTTGTGAGCTAGACACACGCCAGGGATATACTCTGATTTCGAATTTTGGAGAGTCCTACACTTCGGGCACGCCCATACCAACCTTTCCTGAATTAAAGAAGGGCAGCCAATACACGCACCATCCTCGATATCAGCGCGTTTCCCGCCCACGCAACTGCACCCCTTCCGATACGATCCGGACGCTCTCCCGCGGCGCCGTATCGTCTTCCGCGTCTCGGGCGTCGCGACGCTCATCCAGACGCTCGACGCGCGTCCGTCGTTGCGGAACCCAAACGATCAATCGCACGCGACCAAAGCGAGACACACGCGCTCGCCAATCCGGATTCGATCGTACGCGACGCGACTATCGCGCGCGACATGTTGGCCGACTACGACGGCACGCAGTCGCTGCTCGATGGTGATGAGCAGATTTATCAAGCGCAACCGGTGCTGTTTCAGACCACCAAGGAACCTAGTTTATGGTACGAACTTATTTTTTTATTTCATGTAAAAATTCTTTGAAAATAATGTTCTATCTTTACAATTTTCAATTCAAGACTAGCCAAAATACTATTTTAAAGGGTCTGCAAAACAAATGTGTTTTTGTAACTCAAAATGTTACAAAGATTGGTGGCGTATACTTTTGTGCTTTTTGGTTTTCAATTATGGGTGAGAATAAATGTTTTGATCTAATTGTTTGGAAAAACTATTTAAGCTATTTTGAAAAAACGTTTGGGATTTTGTACTGCACAAAACGGAAACAAAATTTTTAGTTTATTCGAATTATATTTACAGCATCTTGAGTTGTCGTTGTATCCTAAATTTTCTGTTTTAGAAGTTTTTTACTTTACTATTTTTTAGTTTCGAGGATGTTTCATTCAATTTAAAATTATACATATTTTTTATATTGTGGAAAATATATTGAACGTTTGTAATAACTGATACTATAATCATATCTAGAATAAGCCCTAAAAGGACACTATTTTTGAGAAGCATTTTATGTTAATTTCAACTTATTAATCAGAACAATATTTATAAGAATACATATTTTGAGCTGTAATCTGTAAAACATTTTTCAATTTCGTTTTTTTCTTTTCCAAAAACGGTGAGGCTTCAGACTAAGTTCATGAACGATGTTATTTGCAAAAAAATACTTGAAAACGTTTCAGTAAAATTAATTTCAATTTATAATTTTTGACGATATGGCATCAAGGTACCATCCTAACTTGATGAAATGGTTTTTGATTATTCTGAATAAACTGAAAAACAAATAACAAAAATGTGCATTGGTATCTCAAAATGTTATAAAGAATGTTATCTGATACTCTTGCTTTTTGCATGTTAACTCTGGGTGAGATTGACGGTCTTAGGTAGCCTAAATTTTTGAAATTTTTTGAGGAATTATAATTGCTCAACGCACTTTGGAAAATACTTCAAAATTTGTACAGCAGAAGACAAAAACGGAACTGTGAGAATATCCGAATTATGATCACAGCATCTTGAATTGTCGTATCCTGAATTTTGCCTTATCTCTTAGTTTTGGGGATGATTTTATTCAATTTAAAATTATACCACATATATATTCTTAAGTTAAAAGCAAATTGTATTTCAGAACAACTTATAGCTAACACTGTAATCGTAGCGAGAAAAGCCCTTAACGTTTTCATCTTAAAGCATCCAATTTATTTGTATCTGTTGATCTTTAGATTCGCAATTTTCACTTCAATTTAGTAACCGAAATACCGTTTAAAAAAGTACTTTGCTGTAAAACTTTTTTATTTCGTCGATTTCTTTTTCATTTTTAAATGCATTTAAATTATATTTTTTTAAAATTCAATTATTCATTTTAAAAATAACGCGCGAAGAGGTGTGATAACTCAGGGAAATATTTCTCCTGAGGTGATTTCATGGTAAAAACATCAACTACAACTTTTCCGACGGGCATCTGGCCCATTCTTATCCTGCTATTTAGACAAATTAACATTTTCACTGTCATTAAACGGAACTGTGGATTACCATTAAATATTTTGGAAGAGCGGATAACTCAAGGTCAAGCAGAAGTACTCTTGCCGGCTCGTGGCAATGAGCTGAACTTTTTTGACGTTGTTACAGGCAATCAGACATGGTATACCCCCGTAACTTCTACAACATCATCCAACCATACACGACGGAAGAGAGCGATCTTCACAAAGCTGCCGCCGGGTATTTCAAAATCAAGTCAGGCGGCGCGACGATAATCATGAACGCCTCTCTTAACGCCACAGACGCCACGCTGGTACCGGAACTCTTCTACAGGTGAGCTTCAGAATAGAGTAGAATCTATCGAAACAAGATAAACTGTCAAAGTCAACTATGAAAGTATTCGTTTTTATTTGAATATCTCAGGTTTTTTTGGAACCAGAATTAAGCGCGTCGTTTGCCTGTGAAACAATCCAATATGGCGTCTATTAGAAAAGATAAAGTTGATTGTGGACACGAGATGACATTTCACAAAGAGTGGCATTTTTGATGCACTTTTTACGTTGGAATACCATTTCAAATGAAGTCAGGAAATATCCATTTTGGAAAAATTCACTTTTTGCTTATCTCCGGAAATACTCGGACTTGCGAAACTTTATAACTACCATTTTCTTAGTTTCCTAAACTGCAATTATGGTAGTTGACTAGGGGGGGTATAATTAACGTAACTAAAATTTATCTAAATATCTTCAAAAGTGGCGGAGCTGCAAGCCATCAAGTTGGACATTTTTGAGACTATCTAAATAACTTACAATGGAAACCATATGTTATACGATATCAAACTCCATGTTTTTAGAAGCTCTAACCAAATATGCAATAAAATATATTTAAAAAAAATACATATCTCTTTCCTATGTTATGAAACACCATGTATCCAGGGTGACAGGTAAATAGGTGTGAAACATTTTAGGAGGCGATAGTACAGCCCCTTTGTTATCTAAATTAGTATATAATACCATACCCTATATTCGAAGGTTGAAAAGTTATTGAAGATTTAAGATTTTTTTAAAAACAATCCATATTTCAGAGTAAAAAAGTCGAGAGAGAAGAAAGTTGGCGATTAAACATTTGTTTTTTGTGGTTTTGGGTTATTATTTCAATAATTAACTATTATAAATTAAAAAAGATTCGAAAACAATACCAAACAACGTATTTATTTGCATTAAAAAATGTTTAACTAAGAAAAACAAATAATGTTATACAGTAACAAAAAAATCAGTATACAAAAAAACGTACAAACAATTTAAATAATATCCTTGTTTCATAAGGAATCTAAATTGGTATGATAAGTGCACAAAAACTGTGTGAAACTAAACATAATGTATTGTAATACAACAATAGGGAGTAAATTTACCAATGGCTTGTCTCCTATTTTCACAACTCTCTGATTGATAAGAAAGTGTTTTTGTGAAAATAATGTAACTGTAAGCTATGGGATAGTTATTATTTTAAACTACGGTTAAGTTACACGATTAGATTATTTACACAGTTGTAATTGTACTACAGAATAATAAAAACTGACTAAAAGTTACTACAATTGGTAAGTAAAATACAATAATGAAATGAAGGTAAAATTCATTGCAATTGTTGTTCGAACTGACGCCCGCCGTTTCTTATGCAAGCCCGTAGTCTTTTTCTCATGTTGGTACGCGTGATGCGGCCAGTTAGTTGTCCCCTGATAGTGTCAGCAGCAGCAATAATTCTTTCTTTCAACTGTGCAAGAGTGTCTATGGGCTCAGCGTACACCAGTGACTTCATGTGCCCCCATAAATAATAGTCATACGGTGTTTAATCTGGGCTCCTCGCTGGCCACGGTGTCGGTCCACCTCGGCCAATCCAGCGACAAGGATATTTCTCGTCCAGCCACTGTCTACCACCCAGACGGAAATGCGCGGGACAGCCATCGTGTTGGTAGATCATCTGCATTCTGATATTCAGAGGCAGGTCTTCGAGATACTCCTAGAGTTCGGATCTCAAAAAGTTCTCATAGGATTCGCCATTCAGGTTGTCAGGCAAAAAAACTGGTCCAATTAGATACGTATGAATGATTCCCATCCACACGTTTGCCGAAAATCTTCTTTGATGGGCTCTTGGCTTTGCCATATGGGGATTTGCCTCTCGTGGGGCCCAATAATGTAAGTTGTGATAATTTGTTGTCCACTCTCTGTCAAACTTAGACTCGTCGGTCCACAATATTTTAGATAAATAATCGTTTTCTTCTTGATCCCGATGAAGCATGTATCGACAAAAATCAATTCTTCTTGCGGGATCTCCTTCTTCTAATACTTGAACCGGTGTGTAATGGAAAGGGTAAAGTCTCGCCGAATGCAAAACGAACCAAACTTTCCACTGAGTTAAACCAAGCTGCTTTGCTATAACTCGTGTAGACGTCGTCGGGTCTCTGCCGTAGCATTCCAGTATTGCCTCTCGATCTTCGTCGTTAAACAACCGAGGTCTACCAGCATCATGACGTCTCTCATGAACCTGTCCACTTTCCTTGACGCGTTGGTACACAGAAGCAAATATTCGATGACTCGGTATTCGCCGATTCGGAAAACGGTTTTCGTATTCTCGCCTGGCTTCAACGGAATTTCCATCACTTAAACCATAACAAAACAGGATATCAGCGTATTCTTCGTTACGGTAACTCGCCATTATTAAAACTGATCAAAAAAGTAAAAGTACGTCCTACCGCGTTAAAGGTTGATATTCTACTAACTAACCTAAGCGTTAGTTCCCTTTCCTTGATCCGTCAGCTGTGTCAATTCATAACACACGCAGAGCTTGCTTTCGAGGAGCGACGACAGATTCCGAATACTTAAACCCGAATAAAGGCACAGGCCACAAAAAATAACAAAAAGGGTCAAACCATGAAAGGCTCGGTTTAGCTGCTCAGTACAATGAAATGCGCTTAGCAGTCCTTTCTAGCAAAGTAATATTGTTTTATTAAATGGTTTACTTACTGATATGTTATTATACCATTTAAAAACCTAATGAAACGAGGAAGTTTTTGCAGTTATTTGTACATTTTCTTTATTATGATTTTTTTGAAAAAAAAAGACTTCTTAATGTGAAAGTTGAAAATAAAAATTTTCATTTAACATTAAAATGAAAATAAATACGTTTTCAGTAGTGTTTTCATATGTTTTTTAATATATGAGAATTATTTATTTAAATAATAACCTGAAACCACCAAAAAAAGAATGTTTAATCACCAACTTTTTTTTATCTCAACTATTTTACTCTGTAATCTGGGTTGTTTTTAAAAAAAATAAATCTTCCATAACTTTTTAACCTTTGAATATAGGGTATGGTATTATATACTAATTTTGATAGCAAAAGAGCTGTACTATCACCTCCTAAAATGTTTTACACCTATTTACCTGTCACCCTGTGTTTTAAAATAATTTCAAGATATGCACTAGTAACAAATCAAGGCCACCACGACAACTTATTTCTGATATCTGTTCCAGTTTGGTCATAAAATAACTTCCCTTTTTGTTGGGACGCCCTGTACATTTTATTTATTGTGTTCTTTCTTTGCAGACACTCAATGACAATGACAGCAGTGTATTGCGTAGCATACCTGCTGGTGTTCGCATTGGGCATCGTGGGCAACTTTTTCGTGATCGCCGTCGTGTTTAGATCACCAAGAATGCGGACAGTGACGAACTTCTTCATCGTCAACTTGGCCATCGCGGACATCCTGGTTATCGTCTTCTGCCTGCCGGCCACTCTCATGTCCAACATCTTTGTCCGTAAGTGAAAACGATTTTACTGCATGTTCGTAGTTATTTTCAAATTAGGTGAATGGTGCATATTAAACACGAGTCGTTTCGAATAATGGTGGAGGTGCGAACAGCAAAATCGGTCAAATGACGCGGATTCGTCGCAAATTTTGGAAAATCTAGGGAGCGATGAAAATTTTTGAATACGTAGTTCGTAAGTATCGGAAATTTTTGACAATTTTCAAATATTTCGAAAATTAAAAGTGTTTCAAAATGCAGTTTATGTTCTGAAATTTTCAAAATTATGAAAACTCAAATCTTGAAAATCCGGAGCATTTTGGAAAAGCTGAAACATTTTTTTTTTGAAAGTTTTGAAAATTTCGAGAATTTATAAAATTTAAAAATATAATTTGGAAATTCAAAATTTGAATAGGAATATTAGGAATATAGACGACTTGAAATTTGCAACATTTTTAATACACTCAAAAATTTGAAGATTTTGAGAAATATTAAAAGCTACATGATTCTCAAGATTTGAAATCTTTGGATTCTTGAATATATTTGAAATTTTTAAATTTCTGGGAAATTTTTATGGTTCTGAACGGAACTCAGAGAATTTTGTGATTAAGAAGAAACATGTCTGAAGTTAAGTTTTTGAGCGTTAAAATAAATGATACATTTGTCTATTAGAATGTTCAAGAAAATTTTGGAAAATCTGGGGAGCGGTAAAATTTTAGAAGCCGCAGAATTAGCAAACTTTGAATACATAGTTCGTAAGTTTCGGAAATTTTTGACAATTTCCAAATATTTCGAAAATTAAAAACATTTCAAAATGCAGTAAATTTATGAAAACTCGGAAGACCTTGGAAATCTTGAGCATTTTGAAAAAGCTGAAACATTTTTTTGAAATTTTTGAAAATTTTGACAATTTTGAAAATTTAAAAATATAAATTGGAAATTCAAAATTTGAATAGGAATATATATATATATATATATATATATATTTGAGAAATATTAAAAGCTACATGATTTTCAAGATTTCATGAAATCTTAGGATTCTTGAATATATCTGAAATTTTGAAATTTCTGGGAAATTTTTATGGTTCTGAACTGAACTCGGAGAATTTTGTGATTAAAAAAAAGACATGTCTGAAGTTGAGTTTTTAAACGTTAAAATAAATGATACATTTGTCTATTAGAATGTTCAAGCAAATTTTGGAAAATCTAGGCCGCAGAATTAGCAAACTTTGAATACATAGTTCGTAAGTTTCGGAAATTTTTGACAATTTCCAAATATTTCGAAAATTAAAAACATTTCAAAATGCAGTAAATTTATGAAAACTCGGAAGACCTTGGAAATCTTGAGCATTTTGAAAAAGCTGAAACATTTTTTTGAAATTTTTGAAAATTTTGACAATTTTGAAAATTTAAAAATATAAATTGGAAATTCAAAATTTGAATAGGAATATATATATATATATATATATATATATTTGAGAAATATTAAAAGCTACATGATTTTCAAGATTTCATGAAATCTTAGGATTCTTGAATATATCTGAAATTTTGAAATTTCTGGGAAATTTTTATGGTTCTGAACTGAACTCGGAGAATTTTGTGATTAAAAAAAAGACATGTCTGAAGTTGAGTTTTTAAACGTTAAAATAAATGATACATTTGTCTATTAGAATGTTCAAGCAAATTTTGGAAAATCTAGGCCGCAGAATTAGCAAACTTTGAATACATAGTTCGTAAGTTTCGGAAATTTTTGACAATTTCCAAATATTTCGAAAACTAAAAACATTTTAAAATGCAGTAAAGTTCTGAAATTTTCAAAATTATGAGAACTCGGAAGACCTTGCAAATCTTGAGCATTTTGAAAAAGCTGAAACATTTTTTTTTAATTTTTGAAAATTTTGTGATATTTGAAAATTTAAGAATATAAATTGGAAATTCAAAATTTGAATAGGTATATAGACGACTTGAAATTTGTAACATTTTCAATATACTCAAGAAATTGAGGATTTTGAAGAATATTAAAAGCTACATGATTTTGAAGATTTTGAGAAACTTTGAATATTTATATAGACGACTTGAAATTTGAAAATCTTGAGAAATATTAAAAGCTACATGATTTTCAAGATTTTATGAAATCTTAGGATTCTTGAATATATCTGAAATTTTTAAATTTCTGGGAAATTTTTATGGTTCTGTACTGAACTTGGAGAATTTTGTGATTAAAAAAAAAAAACATGGATGAAGTTGAGTTTTTAAGCGTTAAAATAAATGATACATTTGTCTATTAGAATGTTCAAGCAAATTTTGGAAAATCTAGGGAGCGGTAAAATTTTAGAGGCCGCAGAATTAGCAAACTTTGAATACATAGTTCGTATCTAAGTTTTGGAAATTTTTGACAATTTCCAAATATTTCGAAAACTAAAAACATTTTAAAATGCAGTAAAGTTCTGAAATTTTCAATATTATGAGACTTCGGAAGACCTTGAGCATTTTGAAAAAGCTGAAACATTTTTTTTTAATTTTTGAAAATTTTGTGATATTTGAAAATTTAAGAATATAAATTGGAAATTCAAAATTTGAATAGGTATATAGACGACTTGAAATTTGTAACATTTTCAATATACTCAAGAAATTTAAGATTTTGAAGAATATTAAAAGCTACATGATTTTGAAGATTTTGAGAAACTTTGAATAGGTATATAGACGACTTGAAATTTGAAGATTTTGAGAAATATTAAAAGCTACATGATTTTCAAGATTTCATGAAATCTTAGGATTCTTGAATATATCTGAAATTTTTAAATTTCTTGGAAATTTTTATGGTTCTGAACTGAACTCCGAGAATTTTGTGATTAAGAAAAAACATGTCTGAAGTTTCTAAGCGTTAAAATAAATGATACATTTGTCTATTAGAGTGTTCAAGCTTAACCGAATAGAAGATATCACACGTAGAGAATTCTTCTGTCTGATAGATATGTTTATTCCATCTATTGACGAGTTTTGTTCTTATTTCAAAACATTCCTTGAAAGGATAAACGTATTTTGTGCATCATTTACTCCAGAAGAATACAAATATTTGCTCAGCTATTTCTCAACGGACCGTTTGATTTCGTCGATTCTTACTTTACGAGGGTTGCTCCGTATCTTAAAGCAGAATGAATAGCAACTGCTTCATTTCAAGCATCGTTTTGTGGTATTTGTATTATGTCGGACCAACCTCGTGGACAAAAACCTTAATACGGAGCTTAACGAGACTTTTCAAATGTTAATTGATTATAACATGATGCACATTGTCGCGACAACTTTATTACGACCTGTAAGTGGCTGAATTCCGGTCAGGCCCTTCACAGGTCAAAGATATAAGCTAGTGTTGCTCAACTCACAGGCGTAAAGACATAAATACAATATTGGGGTCACAAGTTTTTGAATAACAAAACGTACTTTACTGATATGAAAGGTGCAACATTTACAACCCCCTTTCGCCTATAACCCCAGCCTCTAATTTTCAACCCCCACCACTTTTTCCCAAAAATGATCAGGAGCCTCCAAAACGCCAAATAGCAAGTTTTGTGCAATTTATTTTAGGTTTTTGCCCCTAAGGTCTTTTTCAAATGAAGAATATTGTTTTTCGCTGTTATTCATTCTAGTGTTCGATCTTATGCCATACAAGGACTTTTTATTGCCGACGCCGGCGCGTGGAAAACACAATTTTTTCCTTCTCTGGGGCCCTGGAACCGCATTGTGGGGCTACCTGCGCGGGTATTATGTAAAAAACCTATAAAACGTCAGAAAAATCTATAAAATGTCATCTTGTAGACGGGTTATTTATATGTTGTCCTTTCTGAAGATAAGTTACTTCAGTATGTTAAGTGCAGTCGGTGCTTTAAAAACGCTTGAAATATTTTTCACTTGACAAATGCTTTTACGCTCTCAATGAATTTATTAGCTTATTATTATTACATGTATTTTCATGTCAAGATGGATAATAATACTTATTATCATTATTATTGTTATTATTATTATTATCTGAGCGAGTTCAAACTCATACTGAAGGCGGGCCACATGTTCCCCTGTATCCCCTCTAAGCCCGCCGTATCCAGTGTTGTCAGATGGAACGCAACGTTGCCATACTCATCACCTCGCATAACCTTAGCAAAAGGACGACGCCCGATGCATTAGGGCCCAAGTTATTTACCGCAAGCGCCTCGTAAGGGACTTCACGTCAAGCTGTGCATCCCTCAGGATGTGTACCGAAGTAACGGTTTGTATGGGGTAGAGCTTACCGCTATTTTAAGCGGAATCCTCAAGCAAAAGAGAATATTGCTTGGCAGGGAAGCAAACCGGGATTCAGATGTGGGGTTGAATAATGGGCATGCGGGTCAAGGTCGCTTTTTGGTTTGAATAACCGTGGATTTCGATAAGGGGCGGCCCTGATTGTTCGCCACGTGTTGAATAGACTGTTGATTCGAATCGAAGATTAGAATTGAATGTTTCACTAGTAATAACTGGTGATATTGCAGGGTGTCCCGAAAAATTAACATTGGCCAGTTATGGCAATTTGGGATTATAGTATAGTTTATGGGGACAATTCGTCTGAGATATTTTCAAAATGGTGACACTTTTGGTTGTACCGGAGTTAAAGATACTTATTTTAAATAGAACATCGTTAGATTCTGTGAGACTTGTAACGGGTTTCGTATAGTGAGGGTCGAGGATGTACTTTGGTGGATTTTATTCTATATTCAGATAACAAATAGTAATTGGTGGTAAAATAAGTTGTCTACCTCGCAAATTAGAAGTTTCTGAGAAATATGTTAATATTGGGTTTTCTCTTGTTTAAACCGAAGTCTTTAGTAGCTCGTCCAATGTCCGCCCTGGCCAACTTAGATTAACTTATGGCAAAGGCCTTATGGATTATTTGACATACTACTTTGCTCACCATAATGGCGTTGGAGTTTAACCAGTATCATTAGTAGTTTCATAAACCTGTTCAAAACTGACGAAAAATCGGAGACAGTACTTAAACTGGCAGTTACAGTAA